GCATTCGCAGTAAAGTGACTTTGCGCCCACCATCCTCGGTCCAGCCATGCATGCAACTCGATCATATCGCGAGCAGTTATAACCGGAGAGGCCGTGCACAAAATGGTCTTTCGATGTACAGAACGTACGTGGACTCCGATCAGGCTCTTGTGTGTTTGTCGAGCTTTGGCTGCGTTTCGGCGGACGTCCGCAACCTCACGGTAGTCGCATAGACACCAACCAGCTGGCGAAGCCGAAGGTTCTGAATGCCTATCGTAGTACCTTGGAATCCGGGCTGAGTAAGCGCCCACTGAACACGGTTGAAGGCCACTGGTCGCGTATCCGCCAGAGGTTACCATCAACAGACGTCTTCATGTGGCAAAGCAAATTTCCAATCCGGAAATTGGGTCTCTACACAGTCTGGGGAACTTCTAAATGCTCACCGACGCATTCTGGTTGGAAGCGAATATAATGCGACTCGCAGAAATCTCAGGGCAAAACTGCGTGCTAGTTTGAAGAGAGACTTCAATGCTTGACGGTCATCGTGCATCGAAAATGGAAACAGCAGATGCCGTTGTTAACCATCGCTGGCTAATGCGTTTTATACGGGAAACGGGCAGCAGGAGGCCTGGTGTCAGCAAGACCATACGTGAAGAAGGTGGACAGCTGATCCACAGCTTGTCAAAATACTTGGCGGGTTGGAACGAACACTTTGAGATGCAGTTCAAGCAGTCACAGTTGTCAGCTTCTCCACCGGCCATTGATTGCTTTATTCCCTGGGCCGTCCCTGTGGATCCGCGTTCACGCGCAGAAATTGAACGTGAGATCAGATTGTTGCAATTGCATAGGGATGCAGGGGAAGATAGAATTCACCCAGCACTCTTCAAATTCGGCGAACCTGCTATTGTAGATACTTTACACGTGCTAATATTGAAAATGGGTGCAGGAAACTGTCCCAGCAAACTGGAGCTACTCCGTCTTTGTCCCAGTTTTCAAGGGAGGCTTCCGTTGGGAATGCGGCAGTTATAGAGTGATCAGTCTGAGCTCAATTTCCTCAAATCGCTTGCGTCCGTCGTTCTCTACAGACTGACTGGCAATCATGAAAGCGTGATTCGCGAGGACTTCGTGGAAATCGAGGCTGCATCAAAGACATCTTTAGTTTAAGTTAATTGTTGGAGCACTACCATATTTATTGACGACCCACCGTAGTCGTGTTCCTTGACATCAAACGGGCTTTGATTTTGTGGATCGATGTGCCCTTTTGGGACGTCTGTTCAAGAAATGTGTACCTAAGAAATACGTAGTATCAGAATGCTGTAGACGTACAGTTCGGGCAGAATGAGGTTTTATGTTAAACTGTCGCCGCTTTTCGATATCTGCAGCGGTGTGAGACGAGGTTGCCTGCTGTCACTTTTGCTCTTTAACTTCGCAATTGCTGAAGTCATGGAAACAGCGTTCGCGGGACACGACTTACAAGGAAGGAGTGGATTTGCTTCCTGGTGGGCGACTACTTGACTTGGAGTTTGCTGACTGCATTACCATCATCTGTGACAGAACTGGACAGATAGGCACTGGCTCTTGATTGTGTTGGGTTATGCTTTGCTCCCTCGAAATGCAAAGTCCTTCCCCCAGATTGACATGGACGCACTCCTGCGCTGACCTTTAATGGAAATCAGCTAAGAGTCGTCTAAGAATTCAAGTCCGTGCGCAGCTGTCTTAGCGTCCGTGGGATCGAAGTCTCGAACCGCTTGAGTTGATTTTACCAACCTCCGCCACCTGTTGAACCATCGCGACATCACTCTCGTCCTGAACGGCAGAGATTACTATGCAATCGTACGGTTTTGAAACCTAGTCCACCAGGGAGACAGAAATAAAAGGGCCAGCTACGTTCGACCATCACTGCCTTCGCAGTGATGTCCACGAAACCGTGCACATTGTTGTGTTGTTGTGTTTTCTTTTACTATTTCTGTATCTTGTTTTGAGTTCCATGGTTTCCGATGGTGCAATGTCTATTCATAGACTGTTGCAAATATATATATATATATATATATATATATATATATATATATATATATCAGCTTAGCCCATCTCTGGTGGGAACATCGCATGAGAAATGCTTGTTCGGTGTCATGTATTTGGTGCAGGAAGAGTGAGCGAAACGCTCAAGACCATTATATCACGAACCATGCCCCGATGGTTGGGCCACCCGCTGCGCATGCCAGTACACCGACTCCTGCGTCGTGCATTGTTTACGCGCCCGTGGTGTGGATAGAAGAAGGGGAGGGTAAGCCAAGCGATGATTTGGTCGAGAAAAATGCAAACCATTTCTTCGCAGTTGGCACCCGTTGACGCATCTCGACTGTCTGGCTGAAGTCCCAAGGACGATGGATAGATTTGGTTGGACACACTTTTGATGTGGCGAAGAGCCGACCCCAATGGCGTTTGGGTTGTGGGTATTTTGTCCATCCCATTCTTTAGATCTTCTCGAATTATGATCTCAAAACAAGTGGAAAATATGATATTTAAACCATATTGCTTGCTTTTTATATTTTATTATAATTTTCAGTATTTTTTCTTTGTATTGCTGTACATTAGCCGAGGTGTGTTTCCCACTCTCAGTTACCATTTATTCATGACGATTATGATATCCACCTTAATTCTTACTTTGATAGGAACACATAAGTGTGTCACACCGCTCTTGAACAAATTCCAGTCTGAATTCTTGTAATTAGCAAATACAAGAGGCAAAGGGATAGAGCGGATAGTCAACTGTTACATAACGTAAGCCACGGTGCCCATTCTGTCGCCACTAACTAGCAGGCAATGTCGTCCACCTGAGATAGATGCATGCCAGAAATGTGCCCAAGCAGCTGCCTCTCTAAATTGCCCCAGCATTCAGGTCAAATGTTTCGGATGTCTTCCTGTTGCAACATATTTTTCATCTGAGTAAAGTTCATTCAGATGGGGATATGTTACATGATTCCAATACATTCCTCTGGTCCGCTGTCCCTTAAGCCAGTTGATCTTTGAGGTTGCTAGTGTTGTTCAAAGTAGAAATGTAATCATTTCTTATGGAAATCCAACCGACGTAAAACCACATAGAACCTTGTACACTCTTTGCTAGCAGCATCTGCAAGGAAATCAAGGCCGCATTAGTACCAACGGGCACAACGGTCGTGTTGCAGGAATAAACAACCAAATGGGAAACCAAATACGATGACGGTCGCTTGCATTCAGCTCACCCGGCGCTCACATAAGCAGAAGAAAATAGCAGTGTTAAATATTCCGGTACACCTTTTTCAGACAGTTAGCCAGTTCTATGTGAATATCAGCATGTGCTTCTAGCCGAACTTAGTTAACCTTTCTTATTATATTACTAATGAGTAGCGGGGATTTTGGTATAAATCGGATACTCCACCATGGTCACTCTCACTCAGCAAACATTGGCAAATTTGGAAAAGAACCAAACACCGGTGTTTCGACCAGTCACTAAAAGTATATGTGGCTGCCACTTCACCGAAGAATTTCTGCGTGGATTGATAAGGCTCATCGAGATTTTTAGCACAGCGAGCGCTTATAAACAACTAAAGGATCCAAGCTGACTGATCAAACCTATGCTGGTTTACATTGTAGGGTGTCAATGTTACTCTACACAGCATGGTCATGTTCAAGATCATATGGCAAGACTGCTAAAGTAATAATCTTGGACCACACATCTTGCCACAAAATGAGCATTTTGGAGACCCATCAGTGAGCCCTTGTTAACTATTACAACTTCAGATTCAGGAAGCGGACTGTTTCACTTGACTAACCGGCAGTCTGGCGGTAACACTAACAGTGGTGGGCAGAATAAACTATATTGTAAAACCTTAGTTCTATAATCGCGCATTAAACAAAGCAGTACACTAAAGTTATGAAAAAGTCAAATGATTCGCAATGAAGAGATAGTAGTAAACCGATGTATCTTTTAGGCACCAGGCAATACGAACGCGTTGCGAATATAACATTGTTGAAAATAAACATGTGAAATATGTAAGCGTAAGGTCTCAAACAACATGCCGTTAACAAGGATAAACAAATGAAACTGGACTCTTTGTATTTTTAGGACGAAACAACTGTCAGATCAAATTTTCTGTCAGTGAGAGATTAATAATTAAACTATTCTTATCATGATAGTTAACTGTCGTTAATTTAAAAATCGTAGCAGCAATTAGAAATCCCTGCTGATCGATTCTTGAACTACAGCTTTTTGAACTACACACATTACTATTTTTGGAACCCCTGTCGACAAATTGTGGCAAGGTATGATGTTTTTATCACCACAAGTTGTTGGATGAGCCCTAAAGATGGTTGCTAACCGATGATTGTGAAATCGTGGAGAATCTGATCACAGAACCTCACCGGACCGGCAGATTCTGTGCAACTGAGTGAACTTCATGTAATCATCCGGACCCAAGAGTTACAGATATTCTAAATAGCGCGGTTCTGTGGTCGACATCGCATTACTCTAAGTTCACTACATTCTAATAATCCTTCGTGCCTTTCAATTTATCCTTCTTAATTTTAAGTTCAAGCTTTGTCCTTCTTTTTTAAAACATTTTGTTTTGGCGTGTTTAAGTCGCTCTCTGTAGTTTACTTAAGTAACACCTTCCCGAAACCGGCATTTGCAATAATGATTTTCGTGAGTTTTATTTAACGTTCGACCGCGAAATTGTTTGCTCTTTGTTTTGGTGTTCTAAGACAGTCACATTTCTACAAGCGTCTTGTCACTTGATATCTGGGAACCTAAAGGACAGTTGATAGCTCACCCAACTAGTTACGCCTGAATCTGCCGCTTGATATGACGGGTAGAAAAGCACGATGGGTCGCAGCGGTAAACTGCACTTGTTCACTCGAAATCGGTCGACATGTATGGAGTGCTAGTGGGTAGCAAAGTTATTTTGTACACATTGCTATGTAGCAAACAGCATTGCAACATGGAAGTACTTTTATGCTTCATTTTTTCATTCTGTGTTATTCAGAACAGGCAAAACACACAAGTCGTCGGGCGTCTCATCGACAATTCAGAAGTATTGCGTGCACACACCTCGTAAAGAATTGCAATGTTCAGGCAGAAAAAAGCAGAGTTCAAAGGCTCATCTACCTTCCGCTCAATCCAATATGCATCCAATATACATATAAAAAGCACAATGAAAATGTTACGTTTGTACCTATATATCTACTTTCACTTCTAAACATTAACTGAACAGTTGCTGAGAGGACAGGGGCAGCATAAAGTACGCTCAATACAATTAATCCAACTGCGTTCAGTATCATTCTAAAGCTTCACAGATCCAAATATAACCATTAGAGTCCACTACTGGGATAGCTTGTCTTTCAATATATGTTGCCCACGACTTGTCTGGCCAAAAGTCATGTGTTTACTTATATTGCATGTTAAGTCGTACACCTAACTCCGGATCAGTGAAGCAACAGATTTATCACGGGCAAAATAATAAGCGTTTGACAACTCCTGTGAATAGAACAGAATAGTACCAAACAGTATATATCCCGAGAAAATAATGTGTGCGCTTCATATGTGCTCAAAGTTTGGTTTACATTCTGCCATGGCTCAATAGATTGGAGTAAATCATAAAATGCGGGCGCAGTGGTGCACCATTAAATTGCGTTCCGAATCCGGTTGGTGTAAGTTCAGAAAAAATAAAAATCCAGTATTCCATAAGTGGAGCACACCACATGAAAAAAGTCCCGGCGGCATTCCAACCGGCTGCATTGTGTAGCCAAATTCAAATGTTGGCCTCTTCGTCAGATATTTTGGCTGTTTCAATACGTGTTGGTATGTGTGGCTAGGGTACTTGAGGATCTGCTACAGCAATTTAAAATCACCTGTATAAGCTGATAAGATAAGGGGAACAAGCCACAAAGGTTACAGTTGCCATTTGCTGTGGGTTCCCGAGGTTTGAGGCCATGCTTATACGAAGACTGGCAGATCTGGAAGACGTATTGCATATGTGGTCGCAAGTAAGCGTTGAGCGTATGTGAAAGATGGTAAGGTCAGAGCCGTTGATTACCCTCCCTAAGTAACCGGAGTGTTGTATGAATTTTCTCGCTACCCTTTTTGCTGGTCTTGAACAACCTAGCTTGCCCCGTACTAATATAATGCCATAAATTTCATAGAAAGCGTACTACAAAAGATGCATTTCTAACCGATGTTCGTAGCCGCTGTAATGACGTCTGCTAAATTTCTAAACTTTGACTGCTCCAAACGGGAGCAAGTTTATAGCTGACCACTTGTAAGTCCTGTCGAAGGCATTTCGCAGTTATAGGTATTCATTTACAGCCTTGAGGATAAGCCAACTCATGAGATCGTCCTCAGCGTGTAGAATATTTGAGGTGTTTTTGTCGTATTCGGGCCCAACCCAACATGGAGTGCTGTCATCCAATCAGACCATACAACTGTCCAGCCAATCACCACTAAGCTGGAACCAACGAAACCGATATACCCCAGTGAGTCTGGTAAACACGTGAACTTCCTGTTGACACTTTGTTGACTCTGCTTGTCAGTATCTCTTGATCCGCTGTATCAATACTACCGGTCATTTCCACGATCTAGTATTCTATCCACCTACTAGAACAGTTCGGGTTATATCAACTGGCGACGGAATTGGTAATTAAAATGGCAATTTCAGCAGACGATCTCCGTGCAATTCTTCAACAACAGCAGTCGCAGTTCGAGGCCGCTCAGCTCCGTTTACTCGATACTCTAACGCGTAACCTCTCCCTGGTTTCCAAGGACAAGGCACCGCAGGATGAACATACCAACATTGAATCAATTGTTTCTACAATTCAGATTTTCCAGCATGACGTTGCATCGGGTGTTACTTTTGAGTCCTGGTTCAAGCGCTATGAGGACATTTTTCGTGTTGAGTTCGGTGGGAAGGAGGATTCATGGCGATCACGAACACTGCTTCGTAAGTTGGGGATCACGGAGCATGATCGTTTCGTAAACTATATTTTGCCCAAACACCCACGCGAATTTTCTTTTGATGACACGGTTCAGTGCCTCACACAGATTTTTGGCGAACGTTCCTCGCTCTTCAGCACACGTTATCATTGCTTAAAACTCGTCAAGCACTCCATGGACGACTACATTACCTACGCAGGTATCGTTAACCGCGAGTGTGAGCGTTTTAAACTTGCATCCATGACCGAGACACAGTTCAAGTGTCTCATGTTTATTTGTGGTCTACAATCTCCGTCAGACGCGGACATCCGCACACGTCTTCTCACCAGACTGGAGCAAGACCCAGACATAACGTTGCAGAAAATGGCTGAGGAATGTCAGCGCCTGATCAATTTGAAGCATGATTCCCGTATGGTGGAACAGCAGCAGATCAACATGGCAGATGTCAGACCGGTCAGAGCACACAAACAGGAGTCCAAAAAGCCACCAACAGCATGTTGGAACTGTGGCGCATGGCACTACGCCTCACAGTGCACTTTTCGCCGACATCGGTGCAATCAGTGTCAACGCTTTGGTCACAAAGATGGTTTCTGCAAGCCACGCAACTCAACTAAAGCTGACAATTCCAACAAACGGTTTCCGAAACCACCGCAGAAGGCTAGTCGCAGCATTGTTGCTAGCTATCAAGTCAACGCGACATCGCGAAGACGCTATCTAACAGTGAGTGTAAACGGGTATCCCGCGACTCTCCAGGTAGACACAGGATCGGACATCACGATTATTTCGCAAACGATTTGGGAATCCATCGGACGTCCTCCAGTTATGCCCACTCAACAGACAGCCCTCAGTGCATCCGGAACAACTCTCGGTTTGGTTGGTGAGTTACGTTGCTTGGTATCTTATAATGGTCAAAAATTTGAGTCTATATGCTACCTCACTAACCAACCAGGATTGAATATTCTCGGCATTGACTGGTTAGATAATTTCAATCTTTGGAGTATTCCGTTTGATAAAGTCTGCAAACTGACACTGGGCATCAGCATTCCTCCCGTAATAATCGATGCAGGGCTACAGCAGTCCATTCCACAACGGTTATTTCAGCGATATGCACTAGTTTTCCAGGAAGGACTTGGTCTTTGTAGCAAAATGAAGGCTCAATTGCAGCTGAGAGCAGATGCTAAACCCGTTTTTCGTCCTAAACGTCCGGTGCCTTATTCTGCATTAACCAGTGTAGAGCTAGAGCTGGATCGCCTACAGCTAGCAGATGTCATACAACCAGTCGATTACTCGGACTGGGCTGCTCCAATCGTAGTGGTACGAAAGGCCAATGGCTCAATTCGTGTGTGTGCAGATTTTTCAACAGGTCTCAATGACGCCCTTCAGACACACAGTTATCCACTACCAGTCCCAGAAGACATTTTTGCCAAACTTTCAGGCGGTAGACTGTTTGCCAAACTTGACCTAGCTGATGCATATCTACAAATCGCCATTGACGATGAGTCAAAGGAATTGTTGACAATTAACACACACCGTGGATTGTTTCAGTTTAACCGATTGCCATTCGGGGTTAAAACAGCACCAGCTATTTTCCAGCAGCTTATGGATACCATGCTCACGGGCATTGACGGCGTTGCAGCTTACTTAGATGATATCTTAGTGGTCGGAACAAGTCCAGAAGAGCTAGCAGTGAGGCTCGACCAAGTTTTGGATCGTATAAAAGAGTACGGATTGCGCTTGCGACCAGACAAATGCAGCTTACTTTTGCCACAACTTAAATATCTGGGGTTCATTATTGATCAGAATGGACGTCGTCCCGACCCAGCCAATATTTCAGCTATTGTTAACATGCCGGCACCAACAGACGTCAGTACGCTACGCTCTTTTCTTGGCATGGTTAGCCACTATTCTAATTTTCTCCCGGAAATGCATCAACTGCGAGCACCTCTAAACGCATTACTCATGAAAGAGGTCAAGTTTACTTGGTCAGCAGAGTGTCAAGCAGCGGTAGATCGGATTAAAGATATGCTGACTTCCGATCTCCTTCTCACGCATTACGATCCCAAACTTCCAATCGTGGTAGCTGCCGATGCAAGCAACTATGGCATCGGAGCTGTGTTGTCCCACACTTTCCCAGACGGTTCTGAGAAAGCAGTTATCCACGTGGCACGGTCGTTAACATCAGCAGAGAAAAATTATTCCCAGGTTGAAAAGGAAGGCCTGGCTATCATATTTGCTGTCAATAAATTTCACAAAATGCTATATGGTAGACGTTTCAAGTTACTGACGGATCACAAACCGTTGCTGACCATATTTGGTTCACATAAAGGCATCCCGGCAACTACAGCCAGCCGTCTACAGAGATGGGCTCTATCCTTACTGGCCTACGATTTTAGCATCCATTACCAATCGACCACAGATTTTGGGCAAGCCGATGTGTTGTCTCGGTTAATTGCGGATCATCCAGCAGACAACAACGAGACAGTGATTGCTAGTGTTAAAGTGGATCAGGAGATCAATCGGGTAATTCTCGACACCGCGAAATCCCTACCAGTCTCGCTAAAATCCATCCAGCAGCACACATCGCAGGATGCCGTACTACGTAAGGTGATGAAGCACGTGAAAGAAGGTTGGCCATCGAGGGTATCAGATGCAGAACTCATCCCCTATCACCGGTGCCAAAACAGCTTATCAATCGTTGACTCGTGTTTGCTTTTCGCTGAACGTGTGGTTGTTCCCTCAGCTTTACAACGGCCCATTCTCACCCAACTTCACAAAGGCCATCAAGGAATCACCCGCACCAAAGCATTAGCTAGAAGTTACGTGTATTGGCCAGGGATGGATGATGATATCTCACACCTGTGTACGCGGTGTGAAAACTGTGCGACCACGCAAAAATCACCAAACAAATTGGCCCCCGTGCCATGGCCAGCAGCGACCACGCCGTGGTCAAGAGTACATGTAGATTTCGCCGGCCCAGTAGAGGGTAAATCTTATCTCATCGTGATTGACGCTCATAGTAAATGGCCAGAGGTTGTAACAATGCCGACGACCACTGCAGTCGCAACAATTAGACAGTTGCATCAAATATTCAGCCGATTCGGAATGCCGGAGACATTAGTCAGCGATAATGGCCCACAATTTACTAGCGAAGAATTCGCAACATTTTGTCGTTCTAATGGGGTGACACACATACGCACACCACCCTTTCACCCGCAATCGAACGGTCAGGTTGAGCGATTCGTCGACACGTTCAAGCGTGCACTTATCAAAGGGCGAGGCGACGGCCCCAGGGACGATTGCATACACACATTCCTAATGATGTATCGAATCACACCACACCCCTCTTGTAACGGAAGGTCACCGTCGGAAATGTTGTTTAACCGTCAGATCAGGTCAATTTGGGACATAATCGTTCCGGAGGTGAGAGAATTAGCCAAGCCGGAAACAACAGAATCTGCGCAACCCAAACAGCACGTAATAGCGAGAACATTAAAACCAGGTGACTTGGTAT